GATAGTTTCTGAAACACACAATCTCCAGTGGACAAACTGCATTACCTGTTGGCAGAACGCTCCCTCTACTGCTTGTTTGAAGGAATATTCGGCTCTTCCCTGAGGACACTTCTCTGCAGCTCACCTCAGTGTTATGAGTATCCTCCAGGCTTCTCAATACTGTTTCCAAGCAGCAATCCTCACTCTCCCAGTCAGCCCTCTGTTGCTGTGTAATAGCACCATGTAATCCACCGACGTCTTTGGAAGCTGCTCATGCTTCAGCTCTTTACCCTAAGCCCTTCCATAAGCCTGGATGGACAGCCTAGGGTGTTGGATGGCTTTTCTCAGTTCCTTGACATTCTAGATGCCACGGCCACACTATGCTCCTGTCATCACCTCGAACTGTTCCATCTCTGACATTTAAACCCCAACATTACTCTCTGACTATAACCTTTTATCCTTCTAGCTTTCTCATTCCCTTACACACATACACAGATCTGGTTTTGACTCTCATTGAGACCTTCAGTCACTCAATCCCTTCACCTTCTCCTAGTCTATCAATTCTCTCATTCCTGACTGTCTGAACACTCTTTTATAAGCCTCTTTGACTCTTTCATATTCTTGTTTTGCTACTATACCTCACTGTAAAACAACTAATTTGGCTCACAGCTACCCTTTCTTTGGGTTGTGCCTAGCCCTGGGCACCCAAGCAATGCTTGAGCACAATCACATATTCATGGACATGAGCACCAACACAGACTAATTATTTCATTTTTCATCTGTCCTTGGTCAACTTCCTCTCCTATTTCCCCTCAATGACTTTTCCAAACTTACACCTGACTTAAATCTTTCTTCAACCACTCCCATGTCCCATTCAATGCCTCCTCCCCATACAGATAATCCTGTCTCCTAATTTACAAAGAAAATTAAGATTACCAGGCAGCATCTCCTTCTACTTTGTCTCCACACCTGAAAACATCCATACTTATTTTCACCTAGTTTCCTCCAAACCTAAGAAGCATCCTTCTCATATCTCTTAGAGGAACTTGCTTAATCTTCTCCTGTCTCCAATATCTGCAACATCTCCTCTAATATCCCTTCAGTCTATATAAACATCTTATATCTTAAATATAAAACCCTCCACTTATCCCATATTCTCTTCTAGGAATTATTAAATATGTTCCTGCTATGGTCTAAATGTTTGTGTCTCCCCAAAATTCATATGTTGAAATTCTAACCCCCAAAGGTGAGTGTATTATTAGGTGGGGCCTTTGGGAGGTGATTAGGTCATTTAGAGGTGGTACCCTCAAGAATAGGATTAGTATCTTATAAAAGAGACTCCTGAGAGATCCCTAGCCCTTTCTGCCATGTGAGGATAAAATGACAAGTCTGTGACCCAGAGAGAAGGTCCTTACCTGATGATGCTGGCACCCTGATCTCAGACTTCCAGCCTCCAGAACTGTGAGCAATAAATCTCTGTTGTTTATCAGCTATTCAGCCTGTGGTATTTTGTTGTAGCAGCCCATATGGACTAAGATGGCTCCCTATTTTTCTCATGTAAATTTCTTGAAAACAGAGACTACATAGACTCTCTCCACTTTTTTATCCCTCACCATTCGCGCCTGAATCTACAGTCTGTTTCATGACGTACAACTCTACTTAAACTGATCTTGCTAAGGTCAGCAAAGCATCTTACCTGGCAAATCCAGTAAACATTTTTCAATTCATTTCTCACAAATCTTTTCTGTTGCACCTGACAATTTTCCCTCAATTTTGGAAATCTTTACTCCTTTGGCTTATGTGATGCTGCCCACTCCTTCTCCAGGCATTGTACCTTCTTGGTCACTTTTCCTTCAGCTCATGCCTATATATTTTACTCCATCTGTTGATCTTTTACTCCACCAAGAGTCTCTTATTGATTGTTTCAAAATTTGTTTATATAATATCATGTAGGCCAAAAAATATGAATGTGGAAAAGAAAAGAGTGGTTGTTTCCATGAAACAAAGCTGTACTTTTGGAAAGACTTGATTTAGATGAAGTGCTTTAAAAAAGCAGTTTTCAGGGGGCTGGCCCCGTGGCCTAGTGGTTAGGTTTGGCATGCTCCACTTCGGCAGCCAGGGTCTGGTTCCCAAGTGTGGACCTACACCACTTGCTGGCGGCCACATTGTGGTGGCGACCCACATACAAAATAGAGGAAGATTGGCACAGATGTGAGCTCAGGGCAAATCTTCCTCAGCAAAAAAAAAAAAGCAGTTTTCAAATTGGGCATTGGCAAGAAGACTGTAAAAGATAGGGGGAAAAACTCTAAAACAATGATAAAAGGTACCAGTTTCTCAAAGGGGGCATTTTGGCCAGACAATTCTTCATTGTCCAGTGTTGTCCTATACACTGCAGATGTTTATAATTCCTGGACACTATATACTAAATGTCATACTGCTCTCCCCCACCCAGTTAGGGACAACTCAAAAAAAACTCCACAGATTTCCAGGGAGGCGGTATCACCCTGAGTTGAGAACTAATGATAGAAGGATCTTGCACTCAGATTTCTTTACAAGTATCTTAACTACTTGCCCATCTTTGAAGAAACAAACTACAAAAGCAGAAAATGCATTTCAGATGTAATTTGCACTCAAAAGACTACTGTAATACCAATTAGCAGACCCACCAGCAAAGAAAACGTCATGACTGTATATCAACAGATTAGCATTTTAAGTTAAATAAAACGGTAAAGGTATTTAGGTATGTTTTTATCTCCTGCTGCTGCGATCAAATGCTCAACTACTGAGTCTACTGGACTAAACTTGTCTTAAGCATTTTTGCTGACTACTATCATAATTACTTGAGACATTTATTCCATGGTCAAAGGCTTAGTTTCCTTGTAGCTTATAAATATTCAGAAGTTGCCAACTTCAAAAAAATTTTTTAAAAAACTCATTAAAGAAATAGCCATTCTTCTAGTTTTGCTGAGGAAATTCTGCCACAAAAAAGCGAGACCCATGGTATTTAGTAAGACATTTATCCTTAACTTGAAACTTTTTAAACACAATATAACCACTAGTGAAACATACTGACTAAAATATTTTTCAACTAAGTATTACAATTTTTTAAATTGTACAATCTAAACCATTATTTTTACGATAGAAAAACAATACTCTTTTGTAACTGACTGATGAATATCCACATTTTTAGGCATTAAAAACATTTCAAAGGGTTTTGTTGACCTTCCTCTTACCTCTACAAGCAATACAAAGATTCTGGCATCCAAATAACAGATAATTTTTAAAATATACTTTTATCAGAAAGACGTGTAAATCAAGAAGACTTTCATTTCTAATAACTGTAAGATGTAAATTTAACCCAGAAGGGAAATATTACTAAATTTTTCCACGGGAGACAAATTAGAAATTGTTTAATAACTTAATTACTTAAAATCAAAGATCTGAATAATAAAGCAGAAGGAACTAAACTTGGAAAAACTGTCAAAACTATTTGCTTACTTGGCTTCTCTAAAAAAATTCTGATTATGACAGACACTCCCATTATTGTCTAAAATAAAATAGCAATGAGGACACTAGATCAACAAATATTCTATTTCCAAAAAGTGAATTTAATTGCTTTCCTATAAGTCTTAAGTTAAATGAATTCCAAGTAGATAAACTGGTATTAGTAGACAGACTGGAAAATCCATTCTAGATTTTGAAGTAAATACAGCATTTATATATATAGTAGGTTCTTAAGTCTTGAATAAAAAAATGAAACGTGGAAATTAGCAAGGATTGAAAGAACATAAACAAAGGGAAAATAAATACAAACAAATTTAAAAAACAGAAAAGATTTCAACGCAGTCATTTCATGCACGCAAGTACATTCTTCAGGAGTTTTCATTTACATGAAGGATATGTACACTAACACCCCCACTTCTGCTAATTGAGCAAGCTGCCTTGAGCCAGGTTCCAGCCTTTGCTTGGAGGCGTGTGATGTGGTTCTTCCAGCATGCTTTTATTCTGAGGCCCTCTAATGGAGATTTATGCCCGAGTGCTCTCTTATCACGTTCTTGCACAAAAATCTTTTTTTAAAAAATCACTTTTATTTTGTTAAAAAATAACTCTTCTAGGGCCAGCCCAGTGGTGGAGTGGTTAAGTTCATGCACTCCGCTTCAGCAGCCCAGGGTTCGCAGGTTTGGATCCCGGGTGCTGACCTATTCACTGCTCATCAAGCCATGCTCTGGTGGCACCCCACATACAAAACAGAGGAAGATGGGCACAGATGTTAGCTCAGGGCCAATCTTCCTAAAAAAAAAAAAAAAAAAAAAATCAACAAAAAAACCCTCTTCTATGGATTGGAATATTAACGATAATCCAGGCTCATTTGCATGGTCTCCAAACAATTTAGAAAACAGCAAATGCTCCTGTTATAGCTGTTATCAAAGCTTTAGGAATTGTTACATTTAACTATAGAAATGATATTTGTTTACAGTGCATAATTACAAATTTAGAGTATATAATTGCACATGCTAAAGTTTACTTTTTCATTCCATTCCATTAATCATAATGATGATTAATGATTGTTTAAATCAAATTTTTGCCAGTGAACAGAAATTCTGGGACCAATTTCACTCTTATAAAGAATAAATTCAATAAATAGGAAAACCCTTCATAAATAGTTTTCATTGCTTTTCCCTCTCCACCTAGTATTTAGAAGAATAAGGAGTAAAAGAATAAGCACATATGTACTTTTTTTTTGGAATATACTTTCTCCAGACTCCTAAATCTTCTACTCCACTTGTACTTCAGGACATCTTTGCTAGTCATCAGATATACAGCCACCTGTCACTGAGTTTATAGCAAGGAAGAAAAGTGAATATTTAGTGCTGACAGAGGAATTTCTGAATCATCTGCAAATCTGAGCTAAATAACAGGGCTAAAGGACTATGCCCAGGGCCTTGAAATCAGGATGCTAAGTCATATTACCCAAAGAGGCAATGATTCACTGTACAAACGGTATTTTTTAATGGACTTACGGTAGCCACATTTTTTACAGCCTGCTCGGACACTGTCCTTGTTGCAACCTGAAATACAATTGAATAACATTTTAGGAGACATAGAAACAAGTAAAAACACAAAAAATTTCATCACATGATAAAGCTAAGAAAACCACTTGTTGTAGCATTTTTTTCTTAAAAAAAATTCATCTCTGACCCAGCTTAGTAACACTACTCAATTATTATGATTACTAGAAATCATTGGGAAAGCCAGTTTGCTCAAATTAGTTCCTTTGACAAATACTTCAAGAACATAGTTTTATCTAGTTCACCAGAAATTCAATATTACAGTCAAGAGCTTAAACATTCCAGGGTCTATAACAGTGAGGAAGAAATTCCAGGGTACTTTGGCCTGCTACTCAAATGTAAAATAGTTAATTTATTAAATACATATGTGAACATTCAGATTAACAAATGTTTTTCTGCTTTCCCTTAGAAGAAACAAAAATTCTGACTTTCTTAAAGGAATTGGTGAAATTCCAGAAAAACTCTTTAATTGCTAGGTATTATAAGAAACATCTCGATTTAGTAGTCAAATTTTGACAAGAGAAAACAAACCAGTCACCTAGTCAGTCTGATCAATGTTTAGAAATATTACAGTATCACTGTATAATTATTGGTACATCCAGGTAATATTGAAGATATAAATATCAGATGAAATAAATTAAAACTGATTTTTTACTGTGATAAAATATGTATACCATAAAATTTACTATCTTAACCAGCTTTAAGTGTACAATTCAGGGACATTAAGTACCTTCACAATGTTGTACAACCATCACTACTATTTATTTCCAAAACTTCATCATCCCAAACAGTAATTGTACCCATTAAAAAATAACTACCCATTCCCCCTTCCCTCTAGCCCCTGGTAATCTCTATTCTACTTTTTGTCTCTATGATTTTACCTATCTAGGTATCTCATAAAAGTGGAATCATACAATATTTGTCCTTTTGTGTCTGGCTTATTTTACTTGGAGTAATGTTTTCAAGGTTCATCCATATTGTAGCACATATCAGAATGTTGTTCCTTTTCATGGCTGAATAATATTCCATTGTACATATATACAGTTGAAACTGATTTTAACCTTCAATAAGGGTTCCCATCAACCAATCGGAGGGCCAATACAGTATTACTCTATTTCTTTAATGAAAGGCATCTGACTCCTAAAGCCTTCAAATGGAGATACCATCCCAATTTATACATAGTGCAAATATACAACAGTGTTAATTTAAAAACTAAGATCATCTCAAGCCATTTCTTTAATCTTATGAAGTCAAAACATTAGTCATTTTTTTACCTAATCCCAATTATGCTTTAAAACATACATTATTGAGTTATTCTAGGAAAAATCCAGTCATTTCTGCTATAATACTTGTATAAATTTGTTCCAATGCAACTGATATAAGTGGGAACAATTTGAGCAGAATGTGACTTTTGTCCATGAAAAACACTAGGAGAATGCAGAAAACTGCATCCAGTTGCTCTGAGTCTCGTAGGAATATACAAAACACACACACGGACACACCTCAAAACATTTCTAGCGACCTCAGTTCACCATGTATGTTGTGAGCCACCATCCACATTTGGTGTTATAACTTTTCATCTGATTTCTTATCATCATCTTCCCACCATTACTTCAGAACAACTCACAAGCTGCAATTCTTCTGAACTCCACTCCCACAGCAAACTTCAGGTCTTTTAAAAGATATAGTGACATATTTATTGTAGTATTTATGTATCTTTTAACTACGTAACATGTGCAAAACTGTCCTGTTTTTATTAGGTTTCTATTGTTTTTTATGTATCACTGATGAAGCTTTGAGTGTTGTGCCCCAATCTCATTTTTTCTCATAAATCTTGTGTTTTTTATTACATAGTGTAGGAACACATATGCTGCATTGTAGCAGAACTGTGAAATAAAATTGGAATAATAATAAAATATGAGGCTCTTTCATTATGAAATAACTGCGTGTTGAAAAAAATGCTCAGAGTATCCAGGTCAATGTTAAGTCTGTTTCCATAGAAACTGTAGATGCTGAATAATACCCAACAAAACTGTGCTAAATGCACTATTACCATTCCTACAACAAGCTAAAAATGATGTGACAGACAGATCCGAAATGATCTCATCTCAGCATGTATTAGAAATTAACTCATTTATGACTAAAGACTGATAAAACTCATCATTCAAGTATCTCATATTTTTAGAAAGAACAAAATATGCAACTTTTTCAGAGGTCATCTTCTTTAACAAAGTTGTAACTTTTACATGAAAGGGAAATATAACAAGAACTCTAAATAAAGTAACTCCATATCAGCTATTTCCTCACCAGCTTTTGGTTAAATTAAGATTTCAAGCTTCATTTGTCTATAATTTTCATGACTGTCTGGCCAACTGAATGCTTCTACTTGGGACTTTGAATATGACCTAACTGACATAATAAATCTGAGAAAAATGACACAATGAAGTGGGGGCAGTTAATTCACTCTGCTGTCAGGATTCAGTTTCTAGCGGCAGTGAGGCCACTGGCGGCAACAGCCCTAACCAGGTCCAGGCCTATGCAGGATCTTGGCCACGGGCTCCTTTGGTCTCCCCTATTTTCTGAGCCTTATTATCTGGCCTTTGCTTACACTCTGTGAACTCCCTGATATCTTTCCTTTTCTGCCTAAATTAACTAGTCAGTTTCTGTTGTCTGGAACAAGAAATCTGCTGATACAATAGTACTAGAAGTTCAAGTCAAACTGAATAGCAAGGCCATATCGTGAGGCCCTTACTCCGACAAGAAGTTATCCACTTCCCCATCTTAGGTTCCCATGCTGTTCTTTATTCCACTCCTCTTTCAAGTTTGCTAAGGCTGTTCACAGTAATAACAGGGGCTGCCTCCCTCAAATGTTCCTTTATAAACATGACCTACAATCCAAAAGCCATTAAATAAAAACTTACATATTTGACTACATAAAAAAATCTGAATGGCAAAGACCACCCAAAGCAAACTCAAAAGACACATGAAAACTTGGGAAAAAATATTTGCAAATCATAGAACCAACAAAGGGCAATTATCCCTACTGCAGCAAATCGTTAAGAAAAAGACCAACAACCAATAGTAAAAAAAAAAAAAAATTAAAAGTGGGCAAAGGAGTTGAACAGAAAATAAAAACAACTTTGAAACATATGGAGAGATGCTCAGCCTTATTCATAATAAGTGAAATGTACACTAAAACCTATACTGGGATTCCATTTTCACTTACCAGAAAAGCAAAGACCAAAAAGGCTGAAGGTGTGGGGAATATACTCCATCCATTGCTAGTAGGAGTGTAAATTAGAACCATCTCTATGGAAAGCAAGCTGACAAACTATCAGAACTATAAACGTACATACTCCTTTGACCCAGCACTTCCACTTCTGGGAATTAATCCTCTCAATTTACTTGCACAAATGCATACTAACTTATGTACAAAAGTTATTCACTGCAGCATTGTTTGCAATAGTAAAAGAGCAGAAATAGTTTAGACATAAATAATGGTATGACAGAATGAAGATGGTCTTTACTTAAGGATATGTGATAACCTCTAAGATATATTATAAGGAGAAAAAAGCAAGGTATAGAACAGCGCTTATGGTATGTTGCCATTTGTATAAAAGAAAGGAGATTTTATCTGTATAATACAGATTATATATAGATTTTATTTATTGATAGAGACATAAAGGAAATATCTTTATAAGGATATACATGGTTACCTGAAGAAAGAAGAACTGAGTCCAGGGGGAGACAGGGCAAGAGACACATCACTGGACACCTTTTGGTACCTTTATACTTTGAAATGTGAATGGGTTGGCTTCTCAAAAACCAAACTAAAAAACCTCCCTCAAACAAACCAAACCCCAACACTAAGAAGAGTGGCTGTCATGCAAGCATTCTTTGACAAAAGGCATAAATTTTTCAGAGAAGCTACATTGTAGATTTTAAATAAAATTTTATTAACTGATGGTTTTAGGAATAAACTTTAGAGATCTTTATTTTCTGTGTCTCTTAAATATTAACAAGGGCTTATTCTGAATCTAGAATTCTGTTGAACCACTTGAGTGGTAGGGAAGGGCACAGGTAATCAGGCTGGTCCTTTACCTCCCAGTAACTTAAAGGAGTAGAGAATGTCAGTTCCTCTGGATTCCAGACTATGCCAGGTAATTCTGCACACAACTCAGTGCTGAGCATGCTGTAGAGCCGCTAGAAGGTCCTCAACAAGTATTTGTTGTTTTGAGATTATAAACTTAAGAAAAACTTCAGAGGAGAGAAGTGAAGATGGCAGCATAGGTGGACTCTGAACTCACCTCCTCCCACGGACACAGCCAATTTACAACTACTCGTGGAAAAATTACCCCTGAGAGAGAACTGAAAACTGGATAAGAGGAACTCCTGCAACAAATGACAATCCTAATTGAGGGGGAAGAGGCAGAAACTCCCTTGTGGAGAGAAAAAGTGCCACCTTCACAAGCTGCAGAGCTTCATGGCTGCCCGGGACCAGCCCAAAGGTACGCAGCCTTCTGTGGAGGAGTGGGGACCTGAGCTGGGGAGCGCCCCCGCTATAGGCAGTTTTTGGACCCAGCACAACCGAGAGGCGTGGTATAATATCTGACTTTGCTTACTACTAAAACATTGGGGAATATCCCCAGAAAAGCTGGTTCACAAAGAAATTAAAGCTGGCTCCTAAAGGGCCCAGGAACAAACTCACCCACTTCAGAAAGCAACCTAAAATCACCAGAAAGAAAGATGCACAGTGCTTTGGTGAAAAGAGACTCACCTGATAGGCTCTGAGTGCCTCTCAGTGAGAGGTGAGACCTTTCCAGGGACTGGGACATTGGCGGCAGCCATTGTTGTGGCCCAGTGTGGACGTGCTGACACAGATGCTGGCAGATGCCACTGGAGTTCTCCCTGGGGACTGCTAGCCCAGGGTCTGCCCCACACCCTAGAGCACCGATTTAATCCAGCTCAGCCAGGGCAGGCAGCCCACCCTAAGGACTGAC